ATATATATATATATATATATATATATATATATATATATATATATATCGATTGTTTACTGTAAAGTTTTTGTGTAATATTCTTATCTTATCTTATCTTATCGATATTGATTATTCCAGCCATTGTTTGTTTGGCAGTAATTAAATAACTATCACGTATATATAAATTAAGTTTTCCTGAGCGACTGTGCCAATTTGTAAATGAAATCAATATAACTTGTTGATCAGAAAGTTTTCTCTAGTTGTACTAATATTTAGATCATTAAATCCGGAAGCTAACCTTGTTACATGTTAGCAAAATATATACTACTGTGTACTATATACTATTGTCGTTCAGAGTGTAATATTATTTTCAATTGACTTTACCCAAAATAGCAGACTATGCTTCTCTAATCCATACATGATGTACCATTGTAATGAATGTATGATTGCGGTCATCCTCTTTCAAAGATTAATTATTCTTATTGCAACGTGGATGCTAAAACCATCTTCACATGAAATATTGCGTACTAGTTATATATGTGCATACGTGCATAACTTGTGAGTTGTATGTTAACTGAAAACTGCGTTATATCGTATGAAGAAACTGTAAATCGAATAACAACAGGCAACCCGCAGTTTACAGAAAATGGGTTATAATGCATTATTCACCCAAATGTAGGGTAACTTCTGAGTATTTCTTCTGATATGTAAAATTGTATTGACACATTCCATGATTGTTCAAACTCTCTGCTTTAGATGTGAACACTATACTGGTTGTTCTTTTAATTATTTCCAAGTGGCCGCTTTTTGTGGTCTATAATGGATAATACTACTATATAGTTGCAAACAACCAATTAAGTAGTTTTTCGGTGTACGGGATATTCCTATTTGACCAACATGTGTTGTCTCAGAAAGAAATAATTAAATAAATTTAAAAAAAAATTGTAAGTTGCCACTGAGTCAGCAAAAGATTATGAAATAAGATTGGAATTACTGTGAAACATGTCTTTTTCGCGAATTTAGCTAGAGAACTGATTCGCTAATTTAAGATGTCGCTAATGATTTTATTATCAATTCGAAATGGCCGCCAAACAAAGATTTCAACAATGAAAAGAGAGATTCGCTAAATCAACTTTTCGCTATTATGTCATTTTACCACAATTCGCTAAAATTGCATGCCGCCTTTTCAACATGTTTTACTGTGACAGTATTAGATCACAGATAATAATACAACGTTCAATTGTGTGTCAATTACTTTAGGTGAAATGGTTCATTGGCCAGATTGCACATATTCATGTAGCGATAAAGGTATGTATAATGCATTGTTCGTATGTTATTTTTATTCTGATTACCTGCCCCCTGACTCCCATGAAACATGTTAATTACTGTCTGCAAACATCGATAGTATATACAGCTAAATTTCATCTACAAGACTATTTCGTACTTACCAGTACTGAGAGTTGAATTGTTGTTAATATCAGTACCAGCAAATATTATTGTCACGGCTGTAATGGTACCCACTACCGTTGCCACACCAAGAGAGGCCATGATTCCTCCAAATATGCTAGCAGGCGTTGGTGGGCAACACATATTTTTCTTCAATGAGAATCAGAATTCGTATGAATAATTATTAAAGATCGGGTTTTATTTCCAGTTACGTGCCAATGAATTAGAAACAGTTACATACACATGTGAGTGAATCAATTATATTTTGTAGAATGTAAAGCTATAATTGTTGTATTGTTACAATGTGAGCTAACCAATTAATTGACAAGTACTCCAAAAATATTGTCGATTCAGTAAGAAAAATATATAAGATTCACAAGATGTGTGTGTACAGCACCCCACCAGCAAGTGTCTCGACATCAACGTCAACAGTATGCTATACATAATATAACATGAAATGACTTTCAACTTATTCACTTATATATATTCGACTTATTCTATCTTTTAAAAATGAAATTAAAGGTTTATTATTATGCGAGTATGATAAATGTATATGTTTGATATAATTCCCTCAACTAAGGTCGCATCAGGTTTTTTGGTAATGCACTCTGTTTTTGCTTCTCATTTTACGTACCACCTTGTCTTTAGCATTCTGCACCGTGTTTTTTGCTTTTGACAAATAGTCGTAGCTGCGAAAAAGGAAACAAAAAAAAGGGATTATTCATGAACGTTCATTAACGCCTATGTGTTACGTGGAAACAAAATATCCGCACTAAACAGACGTAGCATACATAACAGTCCAAGGTTTATAAAACAATTTGTCCCTGAGCGTGCATGCAATTCATATCTATAAATTATTACAAGCCCCAAAAGCAAAACCGGCTTTAAAACGTACACAAACAAGTCAAATTTGGTTAGTTAAATGATGTAAAACAATTGTGTCTCCTTATTTATGTTTGAATAAACAAAATTATTTTATATACATTCATCGTCTTTCATGTGAAGATATTAGTAGACCAGCCACACTGAAAATATATTATTGAGTAAACAAGAATTTTGCTAAAAAGAGACGTCATCACGTATTTAAATATTACTCGAGATGTATGTGCAGATGTAGTTGATAAATTTATATGTTATATATCATCAGTGATAAGTGAAGAAACGCCAAGCTGTATACATCTCAGTATAAACGCAACAAAGATGACAAGATACTAACAATAATAGAAATAATGAAAGAAAAACATGAAAAATAACTGAACTATGCAAAAGTCCAAACAGTGACAGAAGAGTATCTAATGTCAGGAAATAAAAACAAATGTCAAACAAAAGACTGGTTTAAATAAATTATCAAAAAAAGGATAAAGAAATCTGAAGAGATTTGTGAAGTCTGGCAGAACAGTTGCAAAGTAAAAACAAGTCTTTACCACAAATGACGGACATTTCCATTTTGAACACTTAAGTAGTGCATGATATTTTCACTCATGTGACAATATAAAACACACTTACATGTATAATAGTGATTGTTATTACATGTATAGCTGTTAAGAATTCAGTGGTTATTGTCGTGAATAAACAGGTAACTATTTATGAATGTTTTTTTAGGTCGAAGTGTTTTCTGTGATTGTGCATTTCCCTGTACCTACAAATTCTAATTAATGCCGTAGTTATATCTGTGTAGTGTAGTGTAGTGTAGTGTAGTGTAGTGTAGTGTAGTGTAGTGTAGTGTAGTGCAGTGTAGTGTAGTGTAGTGTAGTGTGGTGTAGTGTAGCGTAGTGTAGTGTAGTGTAGTGCAAGTGCAGTGTAGTGTAGTGTAGTGTAGTGTAGTGTAGTGTAGTGTAGTGTAGTGTCGTGCAGTGCAGTGCAGTGCAGTGCAGTGCAGTGCAGTGCAGTGTAGTGTAGTGTAGTGTAGTGTAGTGTAGTGCAGTGCAGTGCAGTGTAGTGTAGTGTAGTGTAGTGTAGTGTAGTGTCTTAGAGTTTCAAAAGGAATTTCATTTAACAATGATACGGGTCAAAAACTGGGTCTGAAACCTGACATGATCCATCAAAACTAACCCTTTTATACGCAACCACCGAAACTTAAATAAAACAGTTGCGTTTTGGTGGTGCAAAAAGTAGATAGATACAGAGCTATCTGGACATAGGATGTCTCTATGCCATGCTGTCAAAATTAGTTGACTACTATTCTACTGCACCTCGCTTCATGTTAGTCTGTCAACCAACACCATTGAATGTGACCAGGCCCGTAGTTTGGGGGGTTCGGGGGGTTCGGTCGAACCCCCTAAATTTTGGAAGTGAATATTAGATTTATGATCGTAGATTAGAAAATAATAAAACAAACAGTATTAATTAAAATAATTATCATCGTTTAAATCACTTGACTCGGTTGAAATTGCATAGTAATGAGCATTTAGGTGGCAACGAGCTTTAAATGTCAATCGTGAAGTTACGTCGTGTCAGTTCAACAGCAGCCAATCAAAACAGGTTGTTATAAATGGGCAAGCTTTTATTCGGTGATTCCGCGATGGTGTAATGAAGATCGCGTTCAAGCAGCTGATGTTAAATATTAAAGCAACATTGAAACAATAATGTAATGGTAGTAACCCTCTGAAGGATGTGATGGTCCTGAATAGGCCCGTTTGTCTTGTGCTAGTGTTCGCTCAGTTAGTAAAGTGTGGGGTTCGAACGGGATTGAGACGGCAACACCACACTGTACTTTCATATTGGTTCATTAGTTTTGTATTCTTCAAGTTAATGATGGCATATATACTGTTTTGTTCCAAGTGTATCAGCCAAATGTAGTCAACTTATTGTATTTGTACGTGTTGCCTGTGTTATTGGACATAGCGTACAGCTAAGGGTTGAAAACATCATTAAAAAATGACGAAGATTTATCATCACGAGTTGTATAGGTCGAAGAGCTTCTTGCAGCCAAAGATTTATCCCACAGTATTGCTTCAGCACTGAAACTATGCGATAAATTATAATAATCAAACATATTTTTTACACGTTTTAACGATTAATGCTTAAACGATTAGACAAGACCCGCAGACTTACTTGGGAAACCCACATAAAAATTGCCTGTTCAAATATGATTTCGGCATTGTCTGATTTGAAAAACAAGTTGCAGATACTGCAAATTTCTTAGGGAAGAATTTCAAAGAATAACAAAATTGTTGTCAGCAAGAATGGCATGCCCCAATTTCACATTCATCCAGACTGTGTACTTTCGGAAAAATCAATGTAGTATTTATAACCTGGAAGATTTATTGGCAAGCAATTATAGACTAAAATATATATATAACTATAACATAATGTTGAATTAGGCAGACACACAAAAATACAGTTAGATCAATAAATTTTTAGTTTTTGCAGTGATACGTTTGAATTTAGCATGGTAGACAATTGAAATTCGCTTTGTTTTTATATGTCCATTTAATGATCTAAGGGCTGATCTTTTGTCAATAATTTTATGCAATTATGCTATACTGACAGTCTGGGCTTACTTCGTCGCTACACAAACTGACACACCATATATCATATAGCTCTGTATCTGTAAGTTTTCAAGCGACGAGATAAATATGAATCCAGCTTAACTTAGTACCATATGTTCACATGGATGTTGTATTGTTTTTAAAACGTGATATGCACTTGTCTACCATTTCATTTTGTAGGATTTGGTGAGGCCCTGTACAGGAATAAAATTACATAATTGACTAATACTAAAATGAATAATTGTAGACAGATTTCGACATGAAATTGTGTCACTTTTATGTGCGCTAACATCTGTGAAGAGCAAAAAAGCTCGTGAGTAGCATTCTACCTTAAATTGCTTGGACAATAATGCTAAGATACGTACAGTCTTGTCTTTTTTGTGTACATTTTGCCGTAATGGATCAAGGGTGTGGGTGTGTTTTTCTGTGGGTGGGGAATGGCCCAGGACCCCTTCTCTAAAATGGTAAAATAGTTCAAAAATGTTATGTGGAATAACTTACCAACGTAACACAAAGTAAACCAATTGAATTTAATACCGAGAATATAACGATAGCTTTGCTGTTATCAATGCACATTTCAATTAAAGAACTGAAGACATCATTAGAAAATGAACAATATGTATAGTATCAAAGCAATCGGACTTACAGTTTTTAACAAGAAGTCGAAAATATCACTTTCTACCAAAAATAATAAAAATATTCACCAAAATTAGAGAATTGAAGATATCATCACGAAATGAACAAATCTGAGAAAGGTCTACATGTAGTATCTATATATGTAATATCAAAGCAATTGAACTTTTGGTTTTTAACAAGAAGTCGAAAATATCACTTTTTACCAAAAATTACAAAAATATTCACCAAAATTAGAGAATTAAAGATATTATCACGAAACGAACAAATCTGAGAAAGGTCCACATGTAGTACCTATATATGTAATATCAAAGCAATAGCACTTGCGGTTTTTAACAAGAAGTCGAAAATATCACTTTTTACCAAAAATGACAAAAATGTTCATCAAAATCAGAGAATTGAAGATATAAACATGAAATGAACAAACCTAAGAGAGGTCTACCCAAGGTACATATACACCAAGTATCAAAGCATTCAGGCTTGTAGTTTTCAAGAAGAAGACGAAAAAGTAAAACATTGACACGGACGACGGACAACGACGGACGACGACGGACAATCACTCATATGATAAGCTCCGCTCGACAAAGTCGACAGCGGAGCTAAAAATGTATGTAACAGAGCTCAAACAAACTTTTTGAATATTATAAAATTCACACGTTTCACATCAAATATATCATTTATTGTTGTTTTCGAACCCCCTATTCAAAAGTGCTAGCTACGGGCCTGGTGGCTTGATGATGACCTGTCTTCAGAATAAAGACACGTTGTATGCTTGTGAATAACCGGCTTGTGTGTATTACTCATTTCCTATCCTATCGAATACCACAGTCCCACACAGTCTTACGTACGCTCAGACTCATACGATTGTGTTTTGGGTCGATTATATCCTGGCTAGTTTTCCGTACATTTGTAAAGAGGTATTTTCAACGTATGAAAATAACATGGCATACTATAACTGAACAATAATTAGAGTAGGTTTGAGTTTACATTCAAAAAAACTTTTTTCAAGGTAATATTTTGTTATTATTATTCCATGGTGGTTTGGTGTTATAAATTATTTGTTCAATACATCCATACTGCCGCTTATAATACAAATCCCGGTAATCTGATTGGTCCATGCAAGCAGATTGAACTTTTGACATCATGGTTGACTTTCTCAAAATAAACCAATAATTTTTTGGCTTTGGAATATATTAGCTGACGGATTAATACGAATATTAACAATTTGAATATAGTTTCAGATGTCAGCTAAAATGAGTGAGTGCGATAAAGTCATATATGCCATTTATAATTGTACTACCGGCCACGATTCATAGGTATGTTTCACTTATGTCGTGAATGGATCTAAAATTAAACATTCTTTATCGCATGAGGGTAAACTGATCGTAGTCGGTTCATGGACGGCCATCATTTATGAAAATTTGATACGCTCTCACAAACTACACAAAATTTAAAACACATCGAATAAATCATTTTTATGACGAGATATTCTCTACGTATATTACGAATACTTTTTATTCACAACACATTTTACACATGTGTATTTATACTCACGCATCTTGGATTTGTTCTACATCAATATCAGCCTCAACATCTGGCTCCCCTGCCATCCCTGCGACAAAGCGTCTCGTTTAGTTTCAATATGTTCAGAGATAGTTGTAGGCCTAAAACGTCATAGTCCTGATATACGTCGTCTCTGACACAGAAATGTTTTGTTTTAATCCGATTATATATGATAATCGCCCCGGGGTCAGAATCCGAATAAGTCAGATGCAGAAATGATTTTGGTTGCCAAATGCTAATATTACTACGAACAGAATGCATTTCCATACATGATATTCAGTGTAATTGTAAACAACATAATTACAATGGCATGAAACTAAAAGTACTGACTTTAATGAAATATTCAAAATACTATAGGCATAAATAAGATATATTGGCGGGAATTATGAGTTTGACATAAACATAAATATCCACCTCACTGATTAGTTTGCAGGTTCAAAACACTTTTATTTCTTCTTCAATTTCGTTTCTGTGAATGTCCAGTTACATTTGCTATGTATTGTAAGTCAATTCATTTACTAATTGCGTAGGTTTCATAAAATAACCGAATTTATGACATTGACAAACAATTCAGAGTTTAAATGTAGATAAGCAGAGGTAGGATGAGTACAGATAAAGATGACGTTACATTATTGATTTTACATGAAAGATCGCAAATATATTAAGTGTATGACATTTTTTCCATAAGCATTCAAACCGTGTTTAATTTGAATGATTGAGAAATGATAATATTCATAATTACAAAATACACAAGAACATTTGCTTTTTTATTTGCTGTGAATTATGACTGAAAGAAACTATATAGTGTGTTCAACAGTTCGTGTATGAACAATAACTTTGTATTTATCAAATATGTTGGTATTTGTTCTTCATTGAAGTATACATATGGTACATGAATTATCCGCACCCTAAAATGTCATGCGTATAATATACATTGTAACCTTCCAATTGAAAGATCCTGACATTAAAGTGCCTGTGAAATGGCTGCTATTTTCACGTCTAAAATTATCAATTGATACATAAATATTATTAATTTTTATGTTTCTAAGCATAAATTTTTTTTTTTTAAGTGAAAAAATGTGTTTTAAACTCAGTCTACAGCAACTTTATTTTTTGTATTTTAAAACGAGGCTCCTCATTAGCTATTCATTGCCATACAGAAATTCCCCTTGTGACGTCAGAAAGGGAAGTTGCTGGGCAGCTCGCATTGCCGATACGTGTAAATAAGGCAAATTTCTTGTGCAGTTTTCTCGTCTTTGACTAAATTGTCACTTATGTACTTTTTCGTCGAGGAAGAACGGGCCATAATGAACACTTGGATATCAAATTTGTTGCATGGGGTTGAGTTAGATGCGAGATATGTCCGTTCTGGTGTGGCTGGTCGCAGTGATGTCACCGTCCCCGGCGCACGTTTGTAA